AGGGAGGGAGAAAAATTGACACATGGGGAATGCCTGCATGTCTGGGAAAGTCCATGTGGGGGTCTCTTTTGCTTTGTTTTCCTAACTATGTATCAGCAGTCAAGCAGGATTTGAAACCTTAAGCCTTTAAAAAGCTGTTTGACAAATCAGAGATTCCTCAGTATCAGATGAGGGAAGAAGCTTTAGAGTCCTTAGTCCAGTCTCCCTAATTTCACAAAGGGAGAAACTGAGGCTCTGAGATGCTAAGCTGCAGCCAGGATGTCTCTAGGTCTAAACTGGGACCTGGACCCAACTCTGCGGAAAATCACAGGGTGGAAAGTCAAAACAGAACATGAGGGCTTCTCCACGGCTGCACTAGAATCTCCCGTCTCAGAAGGTAGCACGTTTCCAGCACCACGTAAAGATATATTACGAAGTATAACCCCTTTTGGGGACCCTTCACATTTTGTCTGACTAATTTGACTCCTACCCCACCTCCTTCAGCTTTTATCAGCAGCCTGTCTGTAGTTTATGACTCAGTACTTTAGAAACAGAATTCCCAATGCTGTGAAACAATGACTCCAAGCCAGTGCCTGTTGCGGGGAGCTATCATTTTACTGATACCACATTTTTTTTTTTGCTGAAACCTCAGGCCTGGTGTATGTTGTGTTTTTTGAAGTGGGGGAAAAAAGACAAGATAACTTCCACATTGCAAAGGGATGAAGCCTGCATTACCTAAGAGGTCACGTGTGTGGTGTTCATTTTAACAAGAAACTTATTATGTGATGGGGGATAAGGGCACCAGGGGTGGGAAATTGAGAACGGGAAGTCCCCAGGGTGTTGCATAATAACACATTGGCACCTTGGGAATATTTCCGGATGTGTGGGCTTCTGAAAAGTGAATGGGAATGTCACCATAAATCTGTCATCCACCATAATGCTGGTGTTACTAAGCCAGAGAAAACATCAGCCTTTCTAAATGGGAGGAGGAGAATGTAGAAGAGAAGGAGGAAGAGAAGGAGAAAAAGGAGAAGAATAAGAGGCAGAAGAAAGAGTAAAGGAAGAAGAGGTAGAGGAGAAGAAAAAAGGGGGAAGAGGAAGACATAAAGAGAGAACAAGAAAAACAATGGACTCCAGCTACTCAGGAGGCTGAGGCAGGAGAATTGCTTGAATCTAGGAGGCAAAGGTTGCCGTGAGCCGAGATTGCACCACTGCACTCCAACCTGGGCAACAAAGCCAGACTCCGTCTCAAAAAAAAAAAAAAAAAAAAAAAGAAAGAAAGAAGAAGAAGAAAAAAGAAAGATGGAAGGAAGGAAGAAAGTCACTCAAACGGAGAGGCAGAGTGGCAGAGTAGAAAAAGCAGGGTTCTCAATTCAGATTGGAGACAGGATCACACCTCTGTGTGCCATGTGACCCTGTGCAAGTTAAGACATCATAAGAGATCCCACATATGGAAACAAGAGACCACCCATAGTTCACAGGAATCAAAGAGGTATATGAAGAGGCTATCACCTAGTGGGTATCTACAAATGGTGGTAGTTGCTGGTATCCTGTGCCCCCAGCATTCCACACAAACACGCACTGAAAAAAGTAATAGCTCATCTGCCTCAAGCACATCCAACTTGCTAGAAATGGGGTTAAATTTCATATTATCTTATGGTAATAATCTTTAGCCTAGATTCTAAGTGACAGTCAACAGAAACCAACTTTGGCTAACTTAAGGAAAGCAAACAAGCCAAATTTGTTCAAAGAATATTGGATACTTATGGAACACTCTCTGAAGAACCAGGCTTGTGTGCTCTGAAGCTCAATTCCAAGCCCAAGATTAGGCCCCAGAACTAGTTTAGTGAGGGATACAGAGCTAGTGCTGTGCATAGCTATCTCAGCTTTGATGCTAGATGCATTCCCTGGTACCTAGGAGGCTGGTATGGATGTGGCCACTCCCACTATCCTCAGCCAGCAAAATGGTTTCTACAGTATCCCTAAGTCTAATCACTATGAGCTTCCAATTCAAAGTCTTGGGTTGGTGTGTCTGATTGAAGAGCAGAGGAAAAGCCTAAGTTGTATATCCACAATCAAGCTACATGGAAGACCAGGAGAAGGAGATGCATGGATATTTGGGCTCTTCCTTGTTAGAATAATTATTTCCTAAGACCAGGAAGGGAATTCTGATAGAACGCAGCCCCAAATACTGGTAAATATCTTCCAGTGTTGGGTTATAGGGCTTTTACCATTTTCTACATGAGAACACCGAGGCTTAGCCAAGGTCACACATCTAAGCCATGGTATGCCTGATCTCCTGGCTGCTGTCTTGACCACTGTCTTAACAAATGCAATCATGGGAACAATGTCCACCTCAGCACAGCCTCCCACACTTGTCTCACTTCTCTGACGCATTAAAGATAGGTCTACTGGGAGTAAAGATTCATTTTTCAGCTGTTCCTTTCAGAGGAAGATAGTTTTCTAGACTCAAGCTACATGATTTGTCCTTGGAATGTCGTCCCTGGGAGCTGGGATCTCTACTCAACTCTTTCACTGTAGCATGAAAGCAGCCATAATCAATATGCAAAGTGTGACTGTGTTCCAATAAATATTTACAATTATAGGCAGTAGGCTGCTTATGGCCTATGGACCATCATTTGCAGACCCCTTCCATGGATGGGGAGCTTCTACTTATCAGAGACATCCTTATTTTTTCTAATCATTGCACAGTTCTAAAGCAACACAGCATATGAATGTCAGGGCTCAAGTATCTCTTTCCGGATACCATATCCTACCTTCAACCCATTCTACTTTCTTCCTAGAAACACACAAGTTACCTGCCACATTAGTGCAAGTAAAATATTTTTACTTGCAGATATTTTCAGCATGGTCTGGGAGTGGTGTTAATTGCCATGAGGATGATGACAAAGGTAAGAGTTTGCTTCAGGTAGAGCTCACAATTAGAAGGAGTTTAGTCACCCACCTCAGAAATCATACAACAGAAGTATAGGTAAGGCTCTTACAGACCACTAAACCCAATCATTAAAAAATTTACAGTAGGTAAACTGAGGCCCAGACTAGGGAAGCCAGTTGGCCATCTTTATGTAAGTTCTCAGCACAGCTGGCACTAGAACCTGGTTTTCCTAATTTTAATTCAAAATTCTTTCCACCACATTGCTAGGCTGGTATCACTTTTACTATGGACTGTACTCAAATCAAGAGAGGAGAAACATTTTTTGGCAATTTAAAACCCAAGGCCCTGCGGAGAAACTCCCACGTCCTTCTTCCGGGGTATCTTCCTATCTTCCAACCATAAATATTTCCAGAGCACCTCTATTGTGTTGCTCAGCCCCTACTGGGTGCCAAGAAGATAGTAGGTGCTCAACAAATGTGTGTTGAGAATTGAATAAGAGACATGTGACGCATGGTCTTTACCCTCACGGAGCTCACAATCTACTAGGACGAAGAATGTCTACATGCACCCCTGTAATGCACTGCAGATGTGAGGATGTGATGATATCTATTCCCCTTAAGTCCTAGAAAACTGCCTGTCAGTGAGAAATCTTCTAATGAAGGTTTTCATCCCCTAGGAGCTGCCCCTTCCCCTCTTTAGATAGAGCACCTCTGTCTTTTGTACTTGCAAATGAATTGTGGTTAGTTTTCACCTCCAGCCCAGGGGATTAGCTGGGGGACTTTTGATCTTCAGGTATCAATTTGCATCTTTTTTTTTTTTTTGAGACGGAGTTTCGCTCTTGTTACCCAGGCTGGAGTGCAATGGCGCGATCTCGGCTCACCGCAACCTCCGCCTCCTGGGTTCAGGCAATTCTCCTGCCTCAGCCTCCCGACTAGCTGGGATTACAGGCACGCCCCACCATGCCCAGCTAATTTTTTGTATTTTTAGTAGAGACGGGGTTTCACCATGTTGACCAGGATGGTCTCGATCTCTTGACCTCGTGATCCACCCGCCTGGGCCTCCCAAAGTGCTGGGATTACAGGCTTGAGCCACCACACCTGGCTCAATTTGCATCTTAAAGGAAGTATGATCTCATCTGGGCCAGCTCAACATTCCATCCCTGCCCCCTCAACCCCTGTCAGTTTACCCACCAGGCCTGCGGCTGACCAGGGCCTCCCAAGTGGGGCTGAAACAAGATCAGCCAGACTGCAAGAGCAGGCAGCAGAAAACACACTTCCCAAGTGAGTCGGTGAAGGTGGGAAAAGGATGTTTGCTTTCTAAACACAGACTGGTCTGCTATTCCTCCTTCCTCGGATCAGAGAGAATGCCCAAGGTTCTGAGTCTGCAGAGGGGACCCTGGTGGTACCTGGATCCTGGCTGAAGATTGCAAAGCAAAATGAGTTGAGCACATACTTGAGAATCAGACAATATCAGGTTCAAGTCCTGATTTTGTCTTCAATCACTTTTGACCTGTGTAATCTGGACAACTTTTGAAATCTTTCTAGCATTTTTTTCTTATCTCTGAAGTAAGAATCAAAGACTTAAAACATCTCCAGTATTACCCATCCTGGACAGTGTGAAAAAAAAAAAAAAAAAGCAGAGATGTTTGTAAAGCTTGATCCAAAAAACTTACCCGCCATTGGCATCATTTATGAAAGCTTAAGCTCTTGGTTTTGTTTGTTTGTTTTTTCACTGCTGTATTTCCTGATATTGACACAAGAACAGAAAACCAAACACCGCATGTTCTCACTCATAAATGGGTGCTGAACAATGAGAACATGTGGACTCAGGGAGAGGAGCATCACACACTGGGGGAAGTTGTAGGGGGCTAGGGGAGGGACAGCGGGGGGTGGGGAGTGTGGGGGGGATAACGTGGGAAGAAATGCTGGATATTGTATACACCTAAAGTAAAATAAAAATAAAAATAAGGAAAATCGTGCCTGGTACATAGGAGGCACTCAATAAATAGGTATAATACAAAGACGTGAATCATCATTTAGTCATAACCATTGTTGGTATTATAATTACCAACTATTCTGCACCATTCACTTCTTCAGCAAGGTCACAAGAAATGAAAAAGACTTACCAATACAATTGAAGGAAACTTCTTGTCGGCAGAAAAGGGAGCAGCCATCACCATTGATCTTATTCATGTCATCACATTCTTCACCCTGGCCTCTGCAGAACAGATATGGAAGAGAAATTTGCCAATTTAGTCTAAAAACCATGGCTGGATATGGAAAAGTCCCTCCCTGGGCCGTGAACCTTCACTGAGACCTTGTGCAAATCCCTTTCTCTGTCTGAGTCTCTGTTTCTTCATCTTCAAAATGAGATTTCTAAAAGATGTAGATTTATAAAATACTTTGATATTTACCTTGCTTTGTGTTTCTGATGGCAAAATAGAATTCCTGATTCCAACTCATTCTCTGAGATCTCCAGTCATTTAACAAGTCAGATGGGAGTAGGAGATGGAAGAACTAATGAACAAATAAATGGTCTTGCTCCTGCAGTGTCTAGGAAATCTCACTGCCATTTTCTTGTTTCTGATCTTAAATGAGCATATTTGAAGGAAAACTTGGAGATCCTGTTCCTTTACCACTCCCTGCCTTGACATCCTTCTTATTCCTCCAATATACTTAAAGGTAAAGTTTGTTTTTTCTTTTTTTCATTCATGCACTCAAGTTTAGTAATCCTTCCATTGAAAAATTTTCCTTTCTGCATTGGGTGTGTCATTTCGTGGCATCAAGAACTCCAAGGGCTGTGGGACGACACTGTTAAGAATTACTAATGCCTCGTTTTGTTTTTGTTGGAATCATTTCCATCACCTGAGGATGATTTTGCAAAGGCTGGGATGGGCAGAAAATGAGCAATGATCTTTGAATTGGGCTTAGGTGAGGAGAAGGAGGAGCAAAACCTGAAAGTCTGGATGGGTTATTGCTTTCTGGAAAACTCTCATCCTTTTTAAAACAAAACACTTGAGTTTTGAACCCTATGTCTCACACTAACCGTATAATCTTGACCTCTCAATCTGATCTTTCTGTGATGATTTACATTTAAAGTAATTGAAATGAATTATAATTAAAATTCGAATCCTCAATCATAGTGGTCACATTTCAGATATTCAGGAACCACAGGCAGACAGTGGCTTCTGTAAGACTCAGCACAGAGCACGTTTCCGTCACTGCAGAAAAGTCCATTGAACAGTGCTTCTGTGGATGCTGAACCTCAATTTTCTCATGTGCTAAAATGGAGATTATTAATCCTACTCCTTTGAGTAACTTAAAGTGGCTAGCACAGTGGGTGACAGGTAGAAGATGCTCAAGGAATCACAGTCCCCATTCCCACTTGGCCTTGGAAGGTCTCTGCAGAGTGTGTGACAGCTGTCCCTCCATTACCAGAGATCAACTGGGACCTGTCGCAGCATCGAAGAGGCCTTAGACTTTTCCTTTCACCCAAGCAATTAACAGTGGGCAATGTTTGCTGCTTTCTTTTCTTTTCTTTTTTTTTTTTTTTTGAGACAGAGTCTCACTCTATTGCCAGGTGCCAGGCTGGAGTGCAATGGCACAATCTTGGCTCACTGCAACCTCCACCTCCCGGGTTCAAACAATTCTCCTGCCTCAGCCTCCCGAGTAGCTGGGACTACAGGTGCACACCACCACACCCAGATAATTTTTGTATTTTTAGTAGAGACAGGGTTTCACCATGTTGGCCAGGCTGGTCTTGATCTCTTGACCTCGTGATCCACCCGCCTTGGCCTCCCAAAGTGCTGGGATTACAGGCTTGAGCCACCGTGCCCGGCCTGTTTGTTGCTTTTAGGAGGTGTCAGAGTAGCAGGATAGCACCTTGCCATCAATCCTTAAGATGGCTAGGGCATAGCATTGATCTCCAAAGAGCTACCCAAGTCCTCTCTTGTCTGAACACCTATGAGCAAAAAAGAAGTCAGTATTTCTAGCTGGCCTCAGCGTTTTCCAGCAGTGGATCTTGCTGGCTGGAAATTGCTGGTGACCTTGTGCTTATAAGCTAATTCATGGGTTGTTTTGGAAAAGACTTAAAGAAAAAAAAAAAAGTGGGCTGGTTCCCTAAGCCACAAAGCTTACTTTCAACTTCCCTTCCATTGCCACCCAAACAGTGTTCTACTAGTTTAAACAAAACACTTGGATCACAACAAGTATCTCCTAGGCATGACAGATCCATCGTTAGATAAAGAGGTTCTGAGAAACCTTATTTGACCTCTGGGGCTGGAGTAGGTCTTCTCTGTGTCCATAGACAACTTGCTCCATCTAGCACAGCACTTGTCAAAGTGACTGCCTTTGCCTGTTACTTGAGAGCCCCTTATAAGAGGCTATAATTTACCAAAGGAAGTGACAGAGTCTTCATCATCCTAGCACCCAGTTTCTGGCACAGGGCCTAGGATAAGGACAGCATGCAGACACTCCTTTACTTGTTAGTTTTGCCAAAGCTGTCACATCGCACAGCAATGCAATGGGGAATCCAGATGAAAATCTGGGCCCTCTGTTCACATGTACGTTCTACGTCTTATCGGATGTGGAAGCATGAGAAAACCTCCATAATCTCTCTGTGGATTCATTGTTTATCTATAAAGTATTATAATAAGACCGACCTCACATGGCTGTTAGGAGAACTCAAGGAGACAATGTAGTACAGTGCTTCATGCACAGTAGAGGCTCAAAAAGTGTGTATAAATATTATTATCACTATCGAAACATTCATCCATCGACTTCAGCCTTACCCTATCCATGAAATGAGAGAACCTGCTGCCCTGGATCATTTAAGGCAGCACCCATCTATCAGGGGCCTCACTGGGTGCTGGGTCTATCCATATTTCTTTGTAAATTCTTTTACACATAGAGCAAATTAACTTGCATCATTCCATGAAAAATTCTCTTAGCTAAGATGATTATTTCTTCATTTCCCCAAAGTTTTCCTCCCCCACACTTAGGGAAACATCTGTAAGCAAAATTTAGTTTTCAACAAAGTACATCAACCAATATTTGGTAGCAACAGGTAACTCAACATGTGTTTGACATTTATACAAGATACTAATTCTAGGTAAAAGTACTTTAAAAACTATTAAATTAAGTATACTATTTAAAATTAATAATAATAATTATGATATTAATAGTTTTAGATCAGCAAGAATGCTATCATTTGCAGTGTTTAACCAATGCATCTATATCTGTTTCCAGCATGGACAGACTGAGCTGTGGATGAGGCTCCAAATCTGGTGACTTAAAAAAAAAAACAAAAAACTGGGCTATATTAGAAAGTCCCAAATCACAATTATGGGTTATCAGCAACAACTGAAAACATTTTCTGGATATTCTAGATATGAAGTTCAATCTTGGACCCACAAATGATGAGGTACTTTCTCCATGGAGAGCCCTCTGCTTAGTTGTTCAATATTCTATCAGACAGCAGCTGTATCAAAAGCTGAAAGTTGATGCATTAATGTAGGAGAGAACAGTGAGAAGTGTCCCTTTCCCCAATTTTGGTGCATTGGAAACTGTATCTTCTTGTTCTGTTGTTACATGTGAATATGGATCATTTTTGTTTGTTTTTTCATTTTCTTTTCCTTTTTTTTTCATGTGAATATAGATCTTAAATACACACAGCATTGTATGTTAAATAGCTCAGGCAAGTGACAAGTTTTTTTTTTGTTTTTTGTTTTTTTTTCAATTTCCATTTATTTTTGGCTCTTGGGGCAATGCCATCTTTTCAATATGAAAAAAAAGCAGTAAGTTCAACACAAAATAGAAATATCAAATGTAGGATGGAACAAAACCAAGTGTGTGGGGGGGAAGCAACAGCAAAAGGAAGATATGAGATGTTGCAAAAAAGATGGAGGAGAGTCCCCCTTCCCTCTGAGAATTAACTCAAACACTGATGTGGTGGTACACACCATTCCACATAGTCAGGGATGTTCCTTTTCAGGGGTAAGAAAAGTTGGGGATTAGGAGGACATTTCTGGAGGCTTAGGGACCAAGGCTGGTATGCTTGAGGAGTCAAATTCTTGGCAATCAACTGGTTTGCATTATAATTCAACACTTAAAAACTCCTACACTACTCTTTTCAATCTGAAATATTTTGACAATTCGAATATGAAATTTTAGGTGTAGGACATTTAAGAAATAAACGTATGTTCCTGAAATATATATATGATGTAAATACACATTCCTGCTTCAGAAAGCCACTTGAGATTATGCAAATAATTACTTGCCTTATCAGTGCCAATATTTTTCTAATGTCATTTCTTATTTTAAAAACTTGAGTTAGTACCTTTTCATTAACAGTTGGCAAACATTAGTTCTGAGGTGGGGAGCAAAGAGGAATAGAATCTTGTACACACTACTATCTTTTTACACAGCAAGTTTAAAAGATATAATTCACCAGTCATTTGATCATGTTTGCAATATTTCTATTTCCTTTAATGCTAAGTCATGTTCAGAAAGAATACTACTGGCAAATAACTGATGTCTATGTGGATGAGTATTCATGTGCCAGCTCTTTTCAATTGCATTGCTGCACCATCCTTGCTGTATTCCTAGCTGGTCCTTTCATCCTGAAGCAGAGGTTTCCAGTTTACATTATATACCACACAACCATCGTAAACAAATTAAATTGTTCTTCCCCTCTAGCTTGGTGTTAGTGATGGGCAGAAAGAAATAGTCATCTTGCGTGTCTCTTTCATATATGTACTACTCCTATGAGCTGATTCATGTTCTGCACATCAGTGGTTTCATCCAACTGTGAAGCACATTCTTTTTTCATACCACTCCTCCCCTTATAGAAATAGTAATTGCAATTCCATATTGCAGAGATATTATGTGACACCCAACAGTGCTATTTAATGAAGGAATTTTGCCAATAGCTTGTTTTGCCTTCTCCACATGTAATGTTTACCATTAAATGTCAATAGTTTAAAAAGTCTCTTAGCAATAGTGTGACTTGCAAATAAATACCAGCAATGAGGAACCTGATTTTAGCAATAAGAGACTTAATTTTGAATGATTATTGGCCTTTTCTCTACCTCTAGACACAAAACTCTCAATTTTGTGCTAGAAACCCTTTTTCCTTATTCTAGAAGAAAAGAACTTAAAAGCTTATTTATTGAGTTTTAAACAACGTAAAACTCTTGGTGGCTCCTCACCCCTATTTACCAGTTGAATAGCATCTTGTCCTGAGAACAAGATGATGAATGGACTGATAATCTGATAAAATCCACACTTACTGATTCATTTGCCTCAGTGGATTCATATTCACATTCAATATTCACTCCAGAGTACTGTTTAGTATTTATGGTTTAAACATTATAGCGAGTTAAAATACTTTGCTATTTTTTACGAGCCTTTGACCCATTTTGTAAATTGCTGTATAATATGATATAATAGAAATAACAAATAAATATGCAGTTTTCACAAATGTGAATGGTAACCAGCAAAGAATGTAAAAGTGTTTTAACCTAGATGAACTGTGTTCTGTTAACTGAATGTGTGCTGTGACGGAAAAACCGAATGGAATCCTTGTAGCACACATAAAGCGATTAAGTACAAGAGCAAATGGTAGTTGGTACATAAGGGTAGTTCTGTCTAAATCATATTACATAGTTGCAAAATGTATATGTTCAAAAAAATAGACATTGCTTTTTTTCTGAGCTCAACAAATCATTTGGAGACCAATCCAGAGACTGCTGGGGACCACTAGTAAATCACAGCCCATACGTTGAAGAGTAATGGCATAAGCTCTTCTATTCAGCACCCTGACCATCTCCTGACCTACGCCTAATCTGTGTCCCTCCTCCTCTTCTTTCTTTGATTAGATCTACTTACTTCTGTATAATGCCATCGCCACAGTACCCACTTCCATGGATGTATGTGACAGCAGGTGACGGCTGACTCTCTTCAGTTCCTGAAATAGTTATGACCCAATACTGGTACACATCGCCAAGATTTAGATCCCTAGAAAATACAAAGAAGACATAGTTATACAATTACAACACTGGGCAGACAAGGAGAAGATGGAAAATTGATCCCATGGAATGCATTCCATCAGTCTTGCTCATTTTTGAAATCAAATGCACATTTAGTTATCTAATACTTTTTACTGTCTACTATGGTTCCATCAGTCAACTAAGTATAATGGACCACACTAAAATATATGGTAATAAAAGTATCAGATGGCAAATGACTGAAAATGAAGATGTTTGGGAGGAAACCATCTAGGAGAAACAAATGTAACACAAAAGCACAGAGGTGGGAAAGCACCACATCAGATTCTCAGGGCATTATCTGATCATGTTTCCTCATTTTAAGACCAGAAGAGAAATTCCATGACACGTGAGCAAACCCTTTTCTGATGCTGCATGTACCGTGACTCTCTGCCTCCCTGCCACTTGCTTCTCCCTATTTCTTTTACTCTTGACGATAATAATAATAGCAGCATCCATTAATAGAATAAATAGAACATAGAGTCTTAGGCTAAACACTGTTCATAAATTTCTTATTTGAAAATCAAAACAACCCTCTACCGCTGCTAGTATTTTCATGCTGATTTTACAAATGGTGAATCTAAGGCACAGAAAGCTTAAGCAACTTGCTTACAATCATATGCTATTAAGCGATATCCTATATTCTGCCTATCTTATCCCTATTTGAGGTCTGTTTTAATAACCTCACCCCTTTCTAAGTCAAGTCATGTCCTGGAATCACAATTCCAAGGACTGGTTCCTGCCAGATTTCCAACTTGCTTAGATTATCTCTCCTCTGACCTAAAGACCTCCTAGTATCTGCTCTGACTTCCTCACAAACAAACCACCACATGAATACGGCTAGTGCCAATTAACCTCCAAGGCAAATATATGTTCAGGTCAATTCCACATGACTACATCTTCCTCCCCATTTCCTTTTTGACCATTTTCAAATGAAGATGTTATTCCCATCTTTCATCGACCTCTGCATCAATTATTTATTTATTTTTTTAATAATAAAAATGTACCATGGGAAAAACAAAATGATAATGAAGAGAATTCCTATCAGATTCCAGAGTTGGGGGGGATTTCATAAACAAAAGAATGATGTCAAAAAATCTTAAGTTCTTCTGCCCATCTGTTATTTCAGCTGCTGTTAGGGCTTGGGCTGTTTGGATAAGGCCAAAAGATAACAGGTGCATGAGTGACGGACAGAGAATGTCTTCAGACTCTCAATGCAATAATAAGTTGGAGTTTATAAGCATTGAAGGACTCTGGGAAAGAACACAACTTTCCTGAGAATGTCGGATGTATTACCCCAAAGGGAGTTTGTTTGTGCAGCACTGGAACTACTAATATTGTGGGCAGACTAAAAATCCCTGGAGATTTAGTGCTCTGTCAACAATAATGAAACAGGTGGACATACAAAGATCTCGAGCGAGTTTTATGCATGAATGATGGTTGTTTTGTAAACCTCGAATCCTAATTGGTTGATAGAATTATAGGATTTATGATTCTAAAACTGAAGTGTAGTGGAGAAAAAAGTAATAATCCCAGGAGATACACAAAGGCACATGATCAATATGACACGCATTCTATTATGCATTCATTATGTTCTAAAATATGGAGGCATGTTTTATATTTTTTAAATGGCCACATTATGATATAAAAGAAATTTTCTTCAGACTACATCCCAGTTCCCTGGGGCTGTACAGTCATTGTCTACGTAGATGGGGGTAGTTCTGTGGAAAAGCATGAGTATGAAAAGGACTTCTCTACATTGTGTTTTTCACTTGTGGCATGTGTCACAAGTGATTTGTGGCTGATAATATTTAAGGTGACTGGCTAATATTTGTGAATGTTTTCCTCCTCTCTCCACTTTGTCTTCTCTCCACATCTCTTCCTCCTCCTTTTCCTCAATAAATATCAACATAGAGACAAGGAAACATGTGTTTCTGTCCTGGCTGCATCATTATTAGCCAGAAAGCCATGGGCCAGTGTTTCACCTTTCTGAGCCTATTTCAAATCAGTCATAAACCTGGCATCACAGCATGTATCTGCAGATTAAGTGTGAGAACACCTATAAAGCACATATGCGCCCAGCCTATGATAAACATTTAATAAATATTAATCCGTTACAATTTTAATGGTTAATTATCAACATTCCTGTCCACTGAATTTATGCTATGGTCCCCTTACTAGAAGAGGAGTGACAAATAACGAATATAACCTTGGTTAGGCAAACCCATGAAGATGAAGATGTGTGCATGGCTTGATGAAAAATATCTTCTCTACTACTTCACTTGGCTGGAATATCCCCAGTGCCTGGCAGCTTGCTCTCTTTCCTGGTGACCCATTCCAGCTTCTGAAAATTCTGGATCCCAGAAGGTTTCTCTTTACCCGGGGGTAAAATCTGCCTCCCTATAACTTCCACCCACTGACCTCCTTCTTATCCACTAACATCACATTTGATCAGTACAGAAACCTTAATAACCTTCCTTCTTCCAGCTGTGTGTGTGTAGTTCATATTTCATTGTTTTCCAGAAGTCTAAGCAGCTCTTTGAGGCAGGTGTTGTTATCCCAAGTTTTCAGATAGAAAAACAGAAGCCCAAGTCACTCCCCTAAGTTAAAAGATGGGGACAGTGGGATGGGTACAATAGTTACTAAAAAGATTATGTTTTTCCACGGAAAAATTCCTATGATAAAACTATATTTTACCACGTTAAAGTCAGAGTTAATGTTAAATGAGGGCTCTTTTCTCAAGAACCTAGGTAGAATAGATTTCTTTCAGAAGGATAAGCTGGTGGCTTCTGAAGGCTTTGCTGGAGGTTAGAACCTATTTCATTGTTGGTCTAAAAGTAGGACATTTTTGTCAAGTTGTTCCTTTCAGCTGCTCCTAAAACCATCTGGAAAGCCTGTGCTATCACTTGAACTCCTTCCCCTCCTGTGCCTTGTACATTCAGACAGACCCTAAGCCCTCTCACTTCTCCCCACCCAGGAGTTTCCACAACATCCTTCCTTCATCTCTCCTCTAGCCCATATTTTCAGTCTTGATGGCTGAAGCGGCCCCTAGCTTAACATCCTGCCTCAAGCATATCTTGTTTCCAGTCTTGCCAACATCATCAGAATATGCTTAAATGTAGGGTCACTCTCCAGCTCGAAATCTTTTCATTTAGTGTAGCGACAGGAGCTTGCTACTGAGCTGAAACTTCCAATTTACTCTTTCTTTGGAACTAAAATTTTAGCAGTTCATCTGAGATGTGATTATTTTGGCTACTTCTGATTTCTTTCATACAATTTTGAATGCCATTTGAAGATTTTTCTTTTTAAACTTCAACTATCATTAGTAAATCATCAAGGCTGCCTCTGACTATTTTGTGTTTGTAGCTAATATATTTAAATGTGATGGAGTTGTTTGCCTATTTTGAAGGATTGCTTTGTGGAATCTTTGCATACACACACACACACACACACACACACACACATATGCATGTGTGTGTGTGTGTGTGTGCGCGTATAAATATGCAAAGGCAGTCTTGCTCTGTCACCCAGGCAGAAGTCATAGCTCACTGCAGCCTCAAACTCCCAGGCTCAACTAATCCTCCCACCTCAGCCTCCTGAGCAGCTCTCCCGAGTAGCTGGGACTATAGGTGTGCACCACCACAGTGGCTAATTTTTAAAATATATTTTGTAGACATGGGTCTCACTAAGTTGCCCAGGCTGATCTAGAACACCTGAGCTCAAGTGATCCTCCCTTCTTGGCATCCCAAAGTGCTGGCATTACAGGTGTGCCTGGACCTCATGCTTTTTAAAAAAAAATAAAACAAAATGCCAGGCGTGGTGGCTCAAGCCTGTAATCCCAGCACTTTGGGAGGCCGAGGCAGGTGGATCATGAGGTCAAGAGATCGAGACCATCCTGGTCAACATGGGGAAACCCCGTCTCTACTAAAAAGACAAAAAATTAGCTGGGCGTGGTGGCGCCTGCCTGTAATCCCAGCTACTCAGGAGGCTGAGGCAGGAGAATTGCCTGAACCCAGGAGGCGGAAGTTGCGGTGAGCTGAGATAGTGCCATTGCACTCCAGCCTGGGTAACCAGAGCGAAACCTTGTCTCAGAAAAAAAAAAATTAAACAAAATACCTTTTTCTACATTTAGTCACCATTATTTAACACATATCACAAATGGCATACATAATAGAGTTGTATTTCTGATAATTAGAAACAAAAATGCTGGCATTTCTGGTTGATATAATCACAGTATTCTGCCTCAGAAATTCATATTGATGGTAAATGTAAATCGAATTTGAAGAACAACTTACACTAAAATTTAATTACAGATTATGAAATCATTATCTAAAATATTAATATACACATATGGAGGCTAAGCATCTTATGATTCAAGCTTAAATATGCATTTAAAATGCATAAAGGTCAATTATCTGAAATCTATAGACAAGTCGTGATTTTTGGGGGGTCTGTTTCTCTGTCTTTTAATTATGATGTATGATTCCTGTCCCATGCCACTGTGAAGGTCAAATAAGAAATACAAAAGTTATATAGAAGGAAGGGGAGAGAAAGCCTCATTACCCTTCGGAAACATCACATTTTGCTTCTTCCAGAAAATCCTTTTTGAGCGCCTTAAATACTCATTATTGATCCTATTGTTTCCATATCATAGCATTCATTTATCATGGTCTATCCCTTCAAATAGTCTCTATAACTGAACTGCGTTATGCTTCTAGGCCAGGTGCAGTGGCTCACTCCTATAATCACAGCACTTCGGGAGGCCGAGGTGGGTAGATCACAGGTCAAGGGTTCCAGACCAGACTGGCCAATATGGTGAAACCCTGCCTCTATTAAAAATACAAAAATTAGCCAGGCATGGTGGTGGGCGCCTGTAGTCCCAGTTACTCTGGAGGCTGAGGCAGGAGAATCACTTGAACCCAGGAGGCAGAGGTTGCAGTGAGCTGAGATTGCACCACTTTACTCCAGCCT